TCAATTGGCATTCAAACAAATTAATCATCGATGGGTTGAAAAATGTTTTTGACATAAAACCGATACGTTCGTAAATTCAACCATTTTGATGATTTTTTTGAAAGTTTCCGTCAAATAATATCCGATTTTGGAATTTTATACCATTTTTGACTCGTAAGGATCGGTACTATCGATTGGCATCAAAAAAAGGAAATCCAAAATTTTGACCCAAATCGACCAAAAAGCATCACGCTTTTTCTCAAAATCGAGGTCGGTTCGAAAATCGAAACTTGTTCGATGATTTGCTTTAATCTCTCGGGTAATAGCTCCGCGCGGAGATATGACGTTTCAAACCCACATAACTCCGCGCGACATTTTTCAACATCGAGGTCGGTGCGAAAATCGAAACTTTTTCGATGATTTTCTTTTAATGTCTCGGGTAATAGCTCCGCGCGGAGATATGACGTTCCAAAACGACATAACTCCGCGCAAAGATATGACGTTCCAAAACGACATAACTCCGCGCAAAGATATGACGTTCCAAAACGACGTAACTCCGTGGGAGATATGACGTTCCAAAACGACATAACTCCGTGGGAGATATGACGTTCCAAAACGACATAACTACGCGCAGAGAAATGACGTTCCAAAACGACATAACTCCGTGGGAGATATGACGTTCCAAAACGACATAACTCCGCGCGGAGATATGACGTTCCAAAACGACATAACTCCGCGCGGAGATATGACGTTCCAAAACGACATAACTCCGCGCGGAGATATGACGCTCCAAAACGACATAACTCCACGCGGACATATAACGTTCCAAAACGACATAACTCCGCGCGGAGATATGACGTTCCAAAACGACATAACTCCGTGGGAGATATGACGTTCCAAAACGACATAACTCCGCGCAAAGATATGACGTTCCAAAACGACATAACTCCGCGCTAAGATATGACGTTCCAAAACGACATAACTCCGTGGGAGATATGACGTTCCAAAACGACATAACTCCGCGCAAAGATATGACGTTCCAAAACGACATAACTCCGCGCAAAGATATGACGTTCCAAAACGACGTAACTCCGTGGGAGATATGACGTTCCGAAAGGACATAATTCCGTGGGTGATACGACGTTCCAAAACGACATAACTCCGCGCGAAGAAATGACGTTCCAAAACGACATAACTCCGTGGGAGATATGGCGTTCCAAAACGCATAACTCCGTGGGAGATATGACGTTCCAAAACGACATAACTCCGTGGGAGATATGACGTTCCAAAACGACATAACTCCGTGGGAGATATGACGTTCTACAACGACATAACTCCGTGGGAGATATGACGTTCCAAAACGACATAGCTCCGCGCAAAGATATGACGTTCCAAAACGACATAGCTCGCGGAGATATGACGCTCCAAAACGACATAACTCCGCGCGGAGATATGACGCTCCAAAACGACATAACTCCGCGCGGAGATATGACGTTCCAAAACGACATAACTCCGCGCGGAGATATGACGTTCCAAAACGACATAACTCCGTGGGAGATATGACGTTCCAAAACGACATAGCTCCGCGCAAAGATATGACGTTCCAAAACGACATAACTCCGTGGGAGATATGACGTTCCAAAACGACATAACTCCGTGGGAGATATGACGTTTCAAAACGACATAACTCCGTGGGAGATATGACGTTCCAAAACGACATAACTCCGCGCGGAGATATGACGTTCCAAAACGACATAACTCCGCGCGGAGATATGACGTTCCAAAACGACATAACTCCGCGCGGAGATATGACATTTCAAAACGACATAACTCCGCGCGACATTTTTCAAAATCGAGGTCGGTGCGAAAATCGAAACTTTTGCGATGATTTTTTTTAATATCTCGGGTAAATAATGTCTGATTTTAAAATATACCTTTTAGACCTTTTTGAATGCGTACATAACCCTTCTATCATTTGGCATTCAAGCAAATTAATCATCGATGGGTTGAAAAATGTTTTTGACATAAAACCGATTCGTTCGTAAATTCAACCTTTTTGATGATTTTTTTGAATATTTCTGTCAAATAATGTCCGATTTTGGAATTTTATACCATTTTTGACTCGTAAGGATCAGTACTATCGATTGGCATCAAAAAAAGGAAATCCAAATTTTTGACCCAAATCGACCAAAAAGCAAGGGGTTGCATCACGTTTTTTCTCAAAATCGAGGTCGGTTCGAAAATCGAAACTTGTTTGATGATTTTCTTTTAATCTCTCGGGTAATAGCTCCGCGCGGAGATATGGCGTTTCAAAACGACATAACTCCGCGCGAATTTTTTCAAAATCGAGGTCGGTGCGAAAATCGAAACTTTTTCGATGATTTTCTTTTAATATCTCGGGTAATAGCTCCGCGCGGAGATATGACGTTCCAAAACGACATAACTCCGCGCAAAGATATGACGTTCCAAAACGACATAACTCCGTGGGAGATTTGACGTTCCAAAACGACATAACTCCGTGGGAGATATGACGTTTCAAAACGACATAACTCCGCGCGGAGATATGACGTTTCAAAACGACATAACTCCGCGCGGAGATATGACGTTCCAAAACGACATAACTCCGTGGGAGATATGACGTTCCAAAACGACATAACTCCGTGGGAGATATGACGTTCTAAAACGACATAACTCCGTGGGAGATATGACGTTCCAAAACGACATAACTCCGCGCAAAGATATGACGTTCCAAAACGACATAGCTCCGTGGGAGATATGACGTTCCAAAACGACATAACTCTGCGCGGAGATATGACGTTCCAAAACGACATAACTCCGCGCGGAGATATGACGTTCCAAAACGACATAACTCCGCGCGGAGATATGACGTTCCAAAACGACATAACTCCGCGCAAGGATATGACGTTCCAAAACAACATAACTCCGTGGGAGATATGACGTTCCAAAACGACATAACTCCGTGGGAGATATGACGTTCCAAAACGACATAACTCCGCGCGGAGATATGACGTTCCAAAACGACATAGCTCCGTGGGAGATATGACGTTCCAAAACGACATAACTCCGTGGGAGATATGACGTTCTAAAACGACATAACTCCGTGGGAGATATGACGTTCCAAAACGACATAACTCCGCGCAAAGATATGACGTTCCAAAACGACATAACTCCGTGGGAGATATGACGTTCCAAAACGACATAACTCCGCGCGGAGATATGACGTTCCAAAACGACATAACTCCGCGCGGAGATATGACGTTCCAAAACGACATAACTCCGTGGGAGATATGACGTTCCAAAACGACATAACTCCGTGGGAGATATGACGTTCTAAAACGACATAACTCCGTGGGAGATATGACGTTCCAAAACGACATAACTCCGCGCGGAAGATATGACGTTCCAAAACGACATAACTCCGTGGGAGATATGACGTTCCAAAACGACATAACTCCGTGGGAGATATGACGTTCTAAAACGACATAACTCCGTGGGAGATATGACGTTCCAAAACGACATAACTCCGCGCAAAGATATGACGTTCCAAAACGACATAACTCCGTGGGAGATATGACGTTCCAAAACGACATAACTCCGTGGGAGATATGACGTTCCAAAACGACATAACTCCGTGGGAGATATGACGTTTCAAAACGACATAACTCCGCGCGGAGATATGACGTTTCAAAACGACATAACTCCGCGCGGAGATATGACGTTTCAAAACGACATAACTCCGCGCGGAGATATGACGTTTCAAAACGACATAACTCCGCGCGGAGATATGACGTTTCAAAACGACATAACTCCGCGCGGAGATATGACGTTCCAAAACGACATAACTCCGCGCGGAGATATGACATTTCAAAACGACATAACTCTGCGCGGAGATATGACATTTCAAAACGACATAACTCCGCGCGACATTTTTCAAAATCGAGGTCGGTGCGAAAATCGAAACTTTTGCGATGATTTTTTTTAATATCTTTTTTGGCATCAAAAAAAGGAAATCCAAAATTTGGACCCAAATCGATGATTTTTTGTGTATATCTCGGCCAAATCATGTCAGATTTTGTAATTGTATACCATTTTTGACTCGTAAGGATCAGTACTATCGATTGGCCTCATAAAAACTAAAATCTAGATATGACGTTCCAAAACGACATAACTCCGCGCAAGGATATGACGTTCCAAAACAACATAACTCCGTGGGAGATATGACGTTCCAAAACGACATAACTCCGTGGGAGATATGACGTTCCAAAACGACATAACTCCGCGCAAAGATATGACGTTCCAAAGCGACATAACTCCGTGGGAGATATGACGTTTCAAAACGACATAACTCCGCGCGGAGATATGACGTTTCAAAACGACATAACTCCGCGCGGAGATATGACGTTTCAAAGCGACATAACTCCGCGCGGAGATATGACGTTTCAAAACGACATAACTCCGCGCGGAGATATGACGTTCCAAAACGACATAACTCCGCGCGGAGATATGACATTTCAAAACGACATAACTCTGCGCGGAGATATGACATTTCAAAACGACATAACTCCGCGCGACATTTTTCAAAATCGAGGTCGGTGCGAAAATCGAAACTTTTGCGATGATTTTTTTTAATATCTTTTTTGGCATCAAAAAAAGGAAATCCAAAATTTGGACCCAAATCGATGATTTTTTGTGTATATCTCGGCCAAATCATGTCAGATTTTGTAATTGTATACCATTTTTGACTCGTAAGGATCAGTACTATCGATTGGCCTCATAAAAACTAAAATCTAAATTTTGACCCAAATCGACCAAAAAGCAATGGGTTACATCACGTTTTTTCTCAAAATCGAGGCCGGTTCGAAAGTGAAAACATTTTTGATGATTTTTTTTTTAATATCTCGAGTAAATAACGCCTGATTTTGGAATGTTGAACTTCAATCCCAATTGAATTATTGAATGAATTCATATTAAAATCCTCCTTTAAGTAAAAGACTTGAGAGTACATTTTTGATATTATTTACTTGTATTTGTTTCCATGAGTGCACAAATGTCGAAAGTAGCTTTTATGATTTTACTTTCAGTTTAGGGAATTTTGTTTATCGTAAGATTTGCTGTTTGATTTTTGTGTTTGGTTTTTCTTTGACCATAATCATATGTTTAATATTCTGTCATTAAATAGTTTGTATATGTACGATATTATTTATTATTAGTTAAATACGTTTTAAAAATAAATGTATTTCTGTAATGTATCACCAAAAACAACACACATGCGATTAGTTATTGTTTTTACTGTCGACAGCTTCAAGTTGACGTTTCAAATTGATTTCTTGGGCATCGAAAGGAGACGAAAGCGCTAAAAGTCCGACTAAACCTGAAGGATCCAGTCCTTCTAAGCGCGATATGCCAGAGATCCAATTAAATATATATTTTAATGTAGTCTGATCTTAACTGATCTATGAATGCCAAAAACCCAATTACCATCATTGTCATCTGTGCATGTGCGTTATGAGAGCTTCAAAATGCTGTCATGCGTATGTACATTGGGTTGAGGGTGTTTGTTTGTGTTGGGTTGTATGTGTGTGTGTGTTGGGTGGGGTGAAAAGTCTGAAGCTTTCTATTTACATGGGCAAAGTAATAACCCTTCAATTATTTCATGCGGCTACACACATCTATAAATATCAGTTTATGGCTTAACATGCAATATATGTAAAATGTTATGTTCCCATACCCTCAGTGGGTATTGGGTACTTGTGATATTTGTAGTACTTTATACATATACATCTATTTATTATGTCTTACAATTTGCGTTTTAACCAATTCGGATGTTTCTGTTGTAGGTAGTTCAATTGTTGAGGTTTTCTGTCTATATCTGGTTATGGATGCATCTGCTTCTTGTTGGATGGTTCAAGCTTCTACTCAGTCTTGAACAAATCGTCAGCTCAAGGTGAAAGTTTGTTTTATATTTCGATTTGGCTTAGCTTGAACATGATTTCTGTTTCAATTGTTTCTATGTATTTCTGTCAACGTTTATTTTCATTCAATTATTGTGCGGCACTGCAAATGATTAATAATTTATTTAAAAATTGTCATAATATAAATATTCTCGCATTTCGCATTTCTCGCATATATTTACTGTATGTATATTGTGATTGAGAGTTTAATTTGGATTTGTGTTCGGTTATGTATTTGATTTTTTATTATAATATTGATTTATTTAATTTGTCGTATTTACAGCTAAAATTGTGCAATTTGCAGTGGCTGATTCCTAATATGCCACATTCATTTAAATCGTGTCTAAGCTAAGCTGTAAAATTGCCTTAAATTTTCGATTGTTTTTCTTTTCTTTATTCATAAATATTTAGTTTGAAATGTGTGTGTGTTTCTGTGTATGTGTGTGTGTGAGGGTGAGTGTTGCTCTGTGTGCTTCCTTTAATACTGTATTTCTATGCGATTATGTGTCCTGCCAAGGCATGTAACTTGTTCTTTTGTTTTTTATTTGGCTCTTTAGAAATGCCCACTAAATGTTGTCGTGTTGTTGTTGTTGTTGTTGTTGAAATGTACACTCGGTATTATAATTTATATAAATTTAATTTAATTTTGAATTAATTTACAAAACGTTGCCGTCTACCTTTTGAGTATATTATAGGTAAGATTAGTTTTAGATTTAGGTTTTGGATTTGGATTTAGTCCATATATATATAAATACAATGAATGCTTGCGGTTGCAAACAGATGCGAACGGTCACTAAGTATAAGTACAGATACAAATTAAAACTTAAATGAGCGCTTCGTGATTTCTATCAAATCAAGTACAATGTAATTCATAAAGCATAGATTTATAAGTAGATATAGTTAGAATTACAGTTACGGTTACAGTTATAGTTAAGTCGACTACTATCCAAATATCTAAATTAAATCAAATAAAATAACAAAGCAAAGCAGCTTTGTGCGCAAATACTGTTCAAATGTTGCATAGACACACGTAACTGTTCAGTTTGTCTGCTTCTGGCTCTTCTAATTAGTTTCGTTACCATTTTAGTTGTAGTCTAAATAGTTAGTTAAATGTTGCTGCTGCTTGCAATTTAACTAAAAACCGTTAACTCTTTCTTGGCAAAAAATACACATTTCATTGGGTTTGTTCGTGGCTATAGATATTCACAAGTTGAAGACCTCCTCCTGGAACTGGGACTGTCTATATTGGTGTATATATATGTTTTAATATAATGCGTAATAATACAAACTACAGCTACCTTCTTATGCTTAGCCTTCTAATAATTCTGCCTGCTTGCCTGCCTGCCTGCCAGCCTGCCTGTCTTTAGCTGTGCATCTTCATATATATACAAATTCTATATTCTCCTGATCTCTACCAGAATTGTGCTGCTGTTGCGCTTGTCTGTGGCGGCATTGTCGTCGTTGTACTTCCAGTTGCTACAGTTGCAACAGCTGTTGTTGCTGCTGCTGCTGCTGCTGTTGGTGCTGCTGTGCCTGTTGCTGGATTTAGCTGCGGCAGGGGAGGATATCAGGAGTGCTTGTCGGTGAGCTCCGTCCAACGTGACTCGAAGAACTTGCGCATACCATGGCCCGCTTTGCCTACGGGCGAGTCATCCTCGTTGAACATCTCGCAGTTGTCAAAGATTTGCCGCACATCCACGCAAAAGTCCTCGCGGCACTTGTAGCTGCGCATCAAAAAACGAGATAAAATTCTGTTAAAATCAAACCCAGATTAAACACAAATGATTTACACACCTCAAATCCTGCAGTTTCTTCTTGATTGTTGACAGATCCATGGGCGCTTTAATGATTTTGCGATATGTGGGAAACTGTTTGGTGTTCACAGGCAACAGAAATGGCCACGAATCCTCATGAAGCTATCGAAGCATATGTCAATTAACCTTTTGTAATTGCTTTTATTTTGGTTTCCTTACCTCCATTTCGCCCAGCAGCGTCTTGCAGACGGCCAGCTCCTTGATCAGCTTCTTGGTGGCATGCTTCTCCTTCTTCTCCTGCTTCAGCTTCTCCTTGGCCTCCTGTATGGCGTGTATGTTAATGGGTGGCGGCGACATTTGCGTCCCAGCCCCAGCACCAGCAGCAGCCGGCGGTGTTGGAGTGCATGTCCTCGGCGACGGCATGGCCATCAGCTGCTGCTGCGGAGGCGACTGGCAGGCAACGTTCAACAAAGCCGTTGGCGATGCCTGCATCAAAACAGGCGCCGTTACGTTCGGCGTCGGTGGCTGTAGCGGCGCTGACAGCGCTGGCGGTGGTGGTGTTGGTGCCGCCACGGGCGTGGACGTCGGCGTGGGCGTAGGTGTGCGTGTGGGCGTCACCTCACGCGGTGACATGGCCGCAAACTGCATCGCCTGCGGCACAGACACGACGCCAAAGTTACTCGGCGCTGCATAGCCTGTCGCAAAGGAGCCGCTCTCCTCCAGCTGCACGCCTCCGTTGTTATTGCCGAGATGCGCCTGGAAACGGGTGCCATCAATCGAGTTATTGTGATGCTGCTCATCGTACGTGGCCGAGGCAATCGAATGCGCCGGACTGCAAATTGTAAACGAAAGTTTGTTTTTACAATGGGCGACACATACTAGTCATATATGTAAAATGGAATTATGTAAAATGGTCCAGAGTGTATTCAAATAGAGGCTATCCTAATACTCCAAATTGCTAGATGTATATCTATGCCTATTCTATACAAAGATAGTTAAACTAAGTTTTGGGAAATGCCGATACACATACATATCTTACCATTTGCCAGATTTCCGATCAATTCTACGTAGAACAGGGATGAAAAAAGTAAATATTTCACCTTTGATTTCGGTTCGAGCAACTGTTTTTCCACATTTAAAAACTTTGCTTCCGTTTCGTCACATTTATCATCAGATTTTTATCAATTTCATAACCAAATATATCTTTTTTGTTCTGTACATTCTACTGAGACATTAGCTAAACTATCTCGAAGACTGTTGCTAAAATAACTTGAATACAATTTTATGCTGCTGGAGCGTAGCGAATAATATTTGAATAGTTTGTTAGGTGCTTGCCCATGATGTGAATCAAAAGTGCGAGAGGAGGTTATTGTTGTGCATGTATTTGAGATATGTATTATATTATTTGAAAAATGTATGTATGTACACGATCAAGTATTATGTATTTGAATAACTGTTGTTTTACATAATTGAATGCTTGGGTTCGAAAGTGGAATATGTATTTGAAAGGGTCGCTCACCTAAGCGGCGCTGGAAGGGATGTCATGGACTCGTCATGCGACGAGTTGAGCGACTGCTGTGAGCCATGCAGCAGCATTTGCTGCTGCTGCTGCTGCAGTTGTTGCTGCTGCTGCTGCTGCTGCTGCTGCAGCTGCTGCTGGTGTGGATCGATGGGACACAGATGCTCCATGCTGCCGGCCGAGGCCAACAGCTGATGTTTGTCGCTGCCGCGCCGCTTTGCCGCGGTGCTGGCATCGCGATCCCGTCGCGACTTGCTGCTGCTGCTGCCGCTGCTGGCGGCGCTTCTCTTTTTGGGTGGCGGGGCGCGGGTGATGCAGCCGTGGCAGTACCACTTGCCGCGCGGCACCTTCAACAGCGGCGGAATGTAGCAGTCGGCGTGATAGGCGCGCGGGCACAGATCACAGTAGATCATCTTGCCGACAGGCGAGGGCCGATGCCCGCCGCAGACGATGCACTTGCGCTCGTTGGTCGCCTTATTGACGCACTCATAGCAGTACCTGCAAGCAGAAGGATCTCATTAGTTGCGCACAAACAGGACAGAGACCAGGGCGATTGGGGAGCGGGACGCGGTACAGTGCGTGGCGTGGACTTGGTGGACTTGGACGCGAGCGTACAATAAAACGAAAGTAAACAATTCAAGACGATGCGACAAATGTGCGAGGGATGAACAGATTGATGAGGACCAAAGGGCTGAGTCGGATGAAGAATTTGGCTTGGTTTGGTTTGGTTGGGTTGGGTTTGCTTTCTACTCACCAGTCGCCATCGGGTATGTTGTCCATTTTGGGCTTGAAGCAGTAGGTGTGGTAGCCCTTGTCGCAGCCATCGCAGAGCAGCAGCTTGTCCTCGTTCTCGCCCGAGGTGCAGAACTGGCAATTCTGTAAGGAGTTTGAATATTTGCAAGAGTTTGTAGTAGTGCCTGAACGTCGTCCTTGTCGTTTGCGTTTGCCGTTCGAATACGAATTGCAGTCAGTGTCCGAGTTCGAATCGGAGTCAGAGTTCGAGTTTGAGTTCGAGTTCTGGTCACATCCGTTCTGCGCCAAGGCTTTCAAATTTATTTTTATGGTCATCGAAGGAGTTTTTGCTGCAGCTGGCGCCTCTTTAGCATTTTCCATTTGCTTTGATTTCTTCGGTGTTGCTTTGTTTGACTGCTTCTTCTCCTTGTCCTTGTCCTTGTCCTTTTTGGACTGCTTTTGTTTTGAGCCGCTCTGCTCAAGTTGTTGTTGCTGCTTCTTCTTTGGCGTAGCCTGCTTTTTGGCGCTGCCTTTCTTCTTGTTGGACTTGTTGTTCTTTGCGGGCGTTGCATACTTTTGTACGCAGCCAGATTCAGATTCAGTTCAAGTTGCGTTCGAGTTGGAGTTGCGTTCGAGTTGGGGTTGCGTCCGAGTCGGTTTGAAGGAAATGTTGCGTTCGTTGCAGCGGGCAAACGGGTAAACGGATAACGGCAGCGGGTATGGCAACAAAAGCATTCGATTGTAAAACAAATGGCGTGTTTATGTATGTGTGTGTGTGTGTATGTATATGGGTGTATGTTTATGTGTGTGTGAGTGTGTGTGTGTGTGTGTATGAAAGCGTTAAATTCGTTTTTTGATTTTGAACAAGAGAACACCATTGAACACCACAAACAACAAACAAGTCAAACATTCAGCGAAAGTGTTAAGAAAGAAACAGAACAAACAATAAAAAATTCGAATTAATTTCAAGGCAGTCAATAATTTTGTTCAATTAAGGACGACAGTTGCAAAGGAAAGATAATTCTACATAAGTTTACATGCAAAACAAACAAAATTGCAAATGCTAGATGATCCTAAAGAAAGCACTACTTGGGAACTTGGAACGTCTACAAGCTTCGAATAGTTGGGCATGATATTGGGCTACAAAAAATATAACTACTAATTGCGGCAAGACAAGCACTTGGAAAGCGAATCCTATAAATATCTTGTAGTTATCTATCATTTTGTTACTATAACAATTTTAAACAATACTTTTTAGCTAAGATAGAGCCGTATGAAAAGGCGTTTTGTTGGCTAAAATCACAAACTGATTGTGGAATTCACAATTATGAAAAATTGATTTGAAAACTAATTGGAGGAAAACTTTCTTATTTTTTGCCCAATTTAGAAAAGTATATTATAATCAGATATATTTAAGAAGCCTTCCAAATGTTACGAAAAAAAACCTAGAAAATGCGAGCTGCTGCTTGAAGAGCATAGAATATTATATGAATATTCATATGTCTCTACTACTGTCAGACTATTTCTTTGCTTTTCTTCTTCGGACCACAGGCATTCGAAGGAAACAAGGTACGATTTAAAAGAAAACTGGTGAAAATTGATTAGTGCATATGTGTGTGAGTGTGTGTGTGTGTGTGTCTGTGTGTTGGTTATGGGGTTACAATGTGAGTATATAGATGTATGAATGCCAAAAACTAAATGGGGAATGAAAGGCGTCTGACTGCGGCATGAAGGAGTAGGGCTTCAAGGCGCAATGTCAGTGTTGAATGGTTTTTAGTGTTGGGTTGTTGGATTCGTGGGGTTGGTGGGCTGATGGCTGGATAGTGGTGGGGTGCCAAGCTAAGAGATAAGCAAAAGCAAAAGACAAAGAGCTGAAACTTACCGCCTTCATGATGCTCTTGTCCCATGCCACGCAGGACTCCAGCACATAGAGGGCCATGGCCAGCTGGGCGGTGGTATGGGATCGGGCGACGGCATCTCGCCATTGCACCAGGCCCTTGGGTATATTCTCCACCTTCTCGTCCTTGTCGCTGTCGCAGTTGCTGGCCGGCGATGCGGCGCCAGAGCAGGACTCCAGGGTTCCGGCTGGCGGCACAATCGTCTCACAGGATGTGGACGCGACGCTGGTGCTGGGAGCAGCTGCCGCAGCAGCCGCGGCCAAGGCCATGGCGCGCTCGTTAAAGACGGAGGCGTTCAGATTGTTGCCGGGCTGTTGGGTCTGCTGCTGGGCCATCAGCTGTTGCTGCTGCTGCTGCATCTGCAGCAGATACGCCGCCGCCGAGGCGGAGTTCTGCGTCTGTGTGGAGGTCTGCTGATTCTGGGCGATGACGGCCAGGTGGGCGTCGCCGGTCTGGGAGCCAAGCGGCGGCTTCAGATAGCGTCGCTCGATATTTGCCTCCAGATCGATGATGCGCTCCCTTATCATGGGTATGATGCTCACAAAGTCCGCCTCGCACATCTCCTCCTGCTCGCCCAGATTAATGTCATTGTCGCTGCGCGTGGGCAGTTGCCAGTTCTTTAGCTGCATCGATGCGCTGGCAATTTTATCTTCCAGCGATTCGAGCTGCTCCAAAAGTGCCAACTCGACTCGCCTGGCCACCTTGGGGTTCCAGTCGCCCGGACGGTCCGGCATCATGTACTCGACCAGCTCGGCCTGAGCCTCGTTCAGCTTCAGCTGATAGTTGACGCCCAGCGGCTGTTCGAGTCCGAGGAAGCGCGTCAGATTCTCCTGCAGCTCGCGCTCGCGCAATCCCGACGGATTCAACGTTTTCAGCAGCTGGCGCAGCTTTTGCTCGTCGTCCAGCTGCCACCAACCGTAGCGCTGCCTGCGCGGCACATACACGCCGTGCACCTTCTCCGGAAAGCCGGCCAGCTTCACCTGCTCCAGCAGCCGGTGCTCGTCCGGCGTCATCGACAGCGGCAACGGAATGTCTATCGGTATATAGGTCTGCACGCTGCTCAGCGACATGTTCGCTATGTTGTGGTAATACGCCTGGGACAGGGCCTCATCCAGACGCAGTTCAATCTTGGGCTTCAAGTCCGGAGATTCGACGCTCCCGCCGCCCGTATCTGGTGCGGCATCAGCGCGCAAACGAAAAAACGCTTCCGGCTCGGATTTGGACTTGGACAGCTTTAGTAGCTGCTGCTGCTGCTGCTGCTGCTCCTCATCGGTTGGCTGGCCACGATGAGGAGACGCCAGACCGTTTTTTGACACCGTTAACTTGGCCTGTTCGTACTCATCCAGCTTGGCCTGCATCTGCTTCTCGTCCAGTCCCGACAGCGTGAATATGCACTCCTGACTGAACTTCGTCGGATCCACCTTGCACTCCTCCATGGGTATGCTGTAGTACTGCATGTTGTTGATCAGATCCCACGGATGGCCCTGCAGCTGCAGCTGTGCACTGCAGTGCTGGTAACTGGCATAGCTGAGCTGCAGCTCTGTGGCCACCACGCCACCCTCCTCCGCCGGCAGCTCGCTGACCAGCGGCACCTCGCGCTTAACAATCGAGAACCATTTGGGCGCGGCGTCCTCGCCAATCTGCGTTGTCGACACAATGATGCAGTCGTCCTCCTTCTTGAGATCCTCCTGACTCATTGCCTCCGCCTTATCACAGTTGCCGTTGCTGCTGCCGACGCCTCCGTTGTTGTTATTGTTGTTGTTGTTGTTGTTGTTGTTGTTGTTGTTGTTGTTGTTATTGTTGTTGTTGTTGCTGAGAGTTGGTATTAGACCCGGAATGGTGGGTATCTTGATCTCGGCCTCAAAGTCGGTTTTCGTTGAGATGACCGTGGGCGGCGGTCCCATTAGCTCCATCTCCGATTTGACCTTAATCTCTGGCCTGGCCACGACAGGCTCTGTGGCCTTCACAACGCTGGGCAACACCTCATCATCATCGTCGCCAAGGTCCACAATCTCCGGCTCCACTTTGTTGATCTCCGTCACATCATCGTCATCGTCGTCGTCCTCCTCGTTCTCGTTCTCGTTCGCGTTCACCGGCTGGTGATTCGCCAGCTGTGCTTTGACACTATCCAGTTCCGCCGGTTCATCGACCTCCATTTGCTCTACTGCAGCTGTTGTTGTTGCTGCTGCTGCTGCTGCTGCTGCTGCTGCTGCAGGGACATTTGCATCCGGCAGCTGTGTGGGCTGTTCTTGCTGCTCGGCGCCATCAACTGCCACATTCTGTGTGTCGCTGGGCGTCTCCTGCTGCGTCTGTTGTTGCAGCTGTTCGTCCATGGCCTCCAGCGCCTCGTGGTAGCCGCAAATGTCGTTCTGGGCCGACTCCAGAGCCTCGATGAAAATGCCGCCAGCCTTTGGCAGCTTCCAGTAGCGTCGCCAGAAACGATCCTGGCCGAAGCAGGCGGCCCGCAGCTGATTGGTGCTCTTCTCCAGCGCCTCCTTGCAGTTGAGCGAGGCGCGCACAATCTTGTCAAGCTTCTTTTGCAGCTCGTCGGCACTCAGGCGATTGTCCTCGTCCTCCTCAACGTTGGTTATCTCTGAGTCTAAATCGGACAGGTCATCCTCAATGATGCTCACGTCGTGGCTCTGCGAGTGCCCATCCTCATTGATGGAATTGCGTGCGCCGCTCTTCTTTGCCTGCAGCAGCGCCGTCATCCCGACATCTGGCGCTGCTGTTGCTCCAGCTGCCGTTCCGCCGTTTTGCTGATACTCCTCCAGCTTGGCCAGCTGCTTCGAGGGACTCACCTCGGACATGGGCGCGGCGGAAAGCGGTGCCACTGAATCGCCGCTACTGGAAATCAGCACTGGAGCATCGCCATCCAGTTCCATGGGCTGTGGTTGCTCCGTGTCTGGAGTCTGCTGCTGCTGCTGCTGCTGCTGGTCCTGCCTGGTTTTCTCCTCCTGTGTTTTTTCCTCGCTGTTGCACTCAGCACCTGGAGTTGGCTCTGCCGCAGCAGTTCCCTCAGCCGGCGACTCGGTCGTTGCCTGCTTGTTGGCCTCTGCCTCCGCCTCGGCCTCTGCCTGCTTGGCGAGACGTTCGCGTTCGCGTTCGGCGTCGAGCTTCTGTTGGGCCAGGAGCGCTTGCATGGCCGCTTCACGCTCCGCCTGCGCCTTCTCGTAGGCCTCGATGCGAGCCTTGCGCTGGTGCAAGGCCTTGTATTTGCGCACCTTCATGTCGGTCATGTACTTCTCCTTGCGCATCTGGGCGCAGGTCTCGAGGCTGCCGTCGATCTGACGCAGCACCGCCTTGTTCATCAGCAGGTCGTTGCACAGGTGCGCCAGCATCTGTGCCTTGCGTGTCGGATTGAGCGCCACGAAGGGCCGATCCTTGAGTGCGTGCGAGAGCTTCCATGTGTCGTTCTCGTGCAGCAGCTTGTAGTACTCATGATTCTTGGCCGAGTGCGTGGCCGTATCCGCGTCCAGTTGGTGGTGGTCGGGCACGCGTCGCTCGCGCTCCCTGTCCACAGTGATGCCGTGCATCTGGCGAATCTCGCCGGTGGCGGTGGCGTACAGGTAGATGCGCAGGATCTCGGACACGTTTGAGTTGGTAATGTCCGCGTTGCGCAGCGACTGGCCCAGCAGCGTGGTGTGCCGGCCAGGATTGGGCACACCCGGATCCTCGATGGCACAGACCAGCAGGTGCGTCATCACCGAAAGCAGCTCCTCCTCGGCGTCCGCATTGCTGTCGCTGATGAGCGCATCGTGCAGGTTCTGCAGAGACGGCAGCGACTCCATGTCAAAGCCGAGCGTCTCGCCAAAGTTGTGCAGGAACTCGAACACCATCAGCAAATCGGCCATCGCCTGTCCAGGCAAACGATTGCCAGCGATGCGCTCCAGTTCCGGCACGTTCAGCTCCTGCGGCAGCTCTGAATCCTCGCTGGGTTTGCGTATTAGCTGCAGTATCTCCGCGTCCCGCTTACGCTCAGCCATGCGACGCTCGCGCAGTATCAAGCGATCCAGCACCAGCTGGTGCTTCTTCTTTTCACGCTCTTCGAATTTGCGCCGCAGCTCGAGCATCCTGATCAAGTTCATGTGCTGGCGGCGTCGTTCGCGCTCCTACGAAAACAAGTTGAAAACAAAGAAAGATAAGGAAAACAAAGAAAACGCTGGAAAAATGAAAAGCAACCAAATCGCTTACCATTTCGGCAGCCAGCAGTAGCTCCTTTTGCTTCTGCAGTTCCTGTGTAAGAGAAGAGACAAAACAAACGGATGACAAAATTTGATTGAATGGAAGCTAATCGCAGCGCTAAATTTAGAGAATATGACAACTAATGCATCAGATAATTATAAATTAATAAGTTATTATAAATAACTTTAATACAGAACTATTCAGGATAGCAAATATTTGTAAATAATAAAAATACAAACACAATTTTATAATCCTGCAAACCAAAGCTTGATTGTCTCACTGAAATCTTTAAGTACTAAAGCTTGTCAAAGAAGAAGTCTTTAAAGAAAGTATATATCAACTATTAAAGAATATAAATAAATTATTAAAAAGTTATTCGATGGAGCAGACTTTTACAAGCAAGCAAATTTAACACATATTTTACACTTTGGATTGTTGAAAGTGAAATTAAAATTTGAACTAAAGAACAAACTGCCGAATCTTAACTAGAAAGTTTAGGTAAAATCAGAAACATTATAAAATGTTTAAAACAAAACAAAAAGCATGTGCAGAAGAAGGAGGAGCACAAGAGACGCAGCAGAGAGTGGCAAACGTGAAGGCGAAATTGATGCTGTACCTGTTCTTTAGCTAGAATAGCTTCCTGACGTCGCTTCTCTTTCTCCTAAATATTGCAAAGAAAATGCCAATTTGAAAAGGAGTTCAAACAGAGACAAGCTCTTGAATAAATTGGAAACTGACCTGCTGCTTCTTGAGCAACTCCTCCTGCTTGAGGCGATCCAGTTCTTCCTGACGCTTTTTGCGCTCCTGCAAAATGGGATTTAGACGTAAGTAATTGAAGGTGCGGGAATTTGGTGTGCTGTGCTTACCTCGATGGCCTGCTGGTTCTTCAGTTCCTTCTCCTTGCGCTGCTGCTCCAGCTTGGCATTCTTCTCCTGGCGCGCCTTCTCCTTGTTGCGGGCCAGCTCCTCCTTCTGCTGTTTCTTGGCATCGCGCATCGCCTGCTGCTGCTTGGCGATCTCAATGCGCTGCTCCACGTTGAGCGTCTGTCGCGTAAATACTTTCAGATCCTCCAGCCGCTTCGCCACATCCTCGTCCGTCATTCGTATGTACTCGCCATCGTTGGCATAGGGCGGTGGCGCGGGCTGCAGGAACGAGCCCACAATGGCACGCGCCGAGAAACTAAAGTTCTCGCGCGTCAGACTCGATGGCTGCTGCTCCAAGAGCTAAACAGGGACAAAAACAAAAAGGGTACATGTTTTACTCTCGACATTTTCGCATGTAATAAAATGTGCTCCTTCAGCTAGTGTGTCGCGTATTACAAATTACAAATGCGCCCTACAAACTCACAGCAAACACTTGGCCAATGGTCTTCAGGGGCAGGGTGCTGCCCGGTGCGTAGTAGGTGACCTCGCCGCGTATCTGACCCTGCTTGGTTAAGCCGCGTATGACTGTATCTCGCTTCCAGCCGAGCTCTAGGGGCACACGCAGCTCTGCCACATTCAGTATGTTGGCATCCTCGCTCTCCGACTCCGAAAGTCCGCTCTCGGCGGCGACGCTCTCCGAGTCCGTTGACGTTTCCATGTGTGCGTTAGCCTCGCTCAGCGCCAAGCGTATCTTTTCCTGCACGAAATAAAAGCAATTAGCCAAAGCTAACCAAGAGCAGTCTATAGCCTTACAATGTCCGCGCCCTGTTGGAGCAACTGCTGCGTGGCCAGCATTGGCTTCAGTCCCACGGCGCGTGACTGCGCCAGCAGCGAGGCCACCGTGTTCTTCTTGGGCTTGGACACGCCACGGCCCAAGTTGCGCGGTCGTCCCTCCTTATATGTGGAGGAGCCAGACCCAGAGCCAGAGCCAGAGCTAGACGTGCCCGACGCAGCTGGCATGCTGCCCTGTGCCGGCGAAGGCGAAGCACCGCCTGCTCCACTGCCGCTGCCGGAAATGGATCCGCCAGGCATGCCACCGGTGCCGCCCAAGGCAGCGGTTATGGAGCTCAAGCTCTGCAAGCTATTCGAACCGCTGCCGCCGCTGCCCTGCGCCTGATAGTCGCTGGCCAGATTGCCCAGCGCCGAGGAAGCCGCTGAAGAGGCAGCAGACGATGCTCCTGCTGCTGCTGTGGCGTTCATGCTGTTTGAACTATTTTTGTCCGAGGGTTTCATGGACAGATTCAGTGGTGCATCAAAGTCGTCTATGGTAATGGGATTGGAGGCGGAGCCAATGGCGCCGGTGGCGGGCAAAGCACTCGACTTCAAGCTGAGATTAACACCAGAGGCCAGTGAAGGGTCGGTGGTCAGGTCGTGCAGCTCCTTGCCGCAACCCTTGTTGGACAGATTGTATGCGCCGTTCGAGGTAATGGTCGGCGGCAACTTGATGACCTCCACCCGATCGTTGGACGCATTCTGGCTGTGACTGTGGCTCTGACTGTGACCGGCTGTGGAGCCAGCCGTGCTGGTCACCGTCGACGATGACGACGATGCGGAAACAGCCGCCTTAGAGACGCCACTTAGCTGATCCATGGGACTCATGCCCAGACCCATGGGCATACCGGCGGCGCCCAGCATGCCGTGCAGATGCTGCTGCTGCTGTGCTGCTGCCGCCATTGCGGCGTACTCCATTTCGAGTCTGGCGCGCTTCGACGGACTGAGCCCTGGAAATGCAAGCAGAGAGGTAATTGCATTTGTTGTGCTTTCTAAATCCTTTTGCTGCTGTTGCTGTTGTTGTTGTGTAAGGTGTTGTTGTTGTTGTTGTTGCTGTTGTTCTGCTTGGTGTTGTTGTTGTTGTTGTTGTTGTTTCTGTGTGGACTGTTGTTGCTGTTGTTCTGTTTCGGATATGGTCTTCTTGCGACCGCGTGAAGTACTACCGGGTATCTTGGGGCCCACGATGGAGGACGTGTACTTGATAATCTCCGTATCCGGCGGCAGTCTCACACCCAACAGCGACGGATGTTCGCTGCCGCTGCAAAGTAGATGCAAAATTGATTAGTAATTCACTTGCTTCTGCTCGAAATTCTGAGCTTCCGCTCACCTGCTCATCATGGCCGCATTGCTCATGTAGTCCTTGGCGCTGCCTTTGTTCCCGCTGCCGGCCATCGTTGTGCTGGCCACCTGCTGTTGCTGCTGCTGCTGTGACAGATGTGCCGCGGAGGTGACCGTGGCGCTGGCAGCGGCTCCGCTGCTCGCCGCAAACGCATTCATGGCCGCCTGCACGCTCTGCTGGGGCGTCATGCCGAGTGCGCCGAATTGTGAGAGCGAGTTGAGGGCATTGAGCGACGGATTGTTCTTGTCGCGATCCCGATCCTTGCCAGAGCTGCCCATGCCGCTGCCGGAGATGTTTGCATGCGGCGACATGGACATGCTCGGGTGCATGCCACTCAGCGAGGCGCCGCCGCTCGAGCTTGAGCTGACGTTGGTCGACGCCTTGCTGCTGGACATGATGCCACCTCCACTGCCGCCACCACCGCTGCCGCCTGCGCCCAGGCTCATGGCCAGGTTGGACAGACCGTGGGCATGCAGCGATGAGCCACCACCAGCTCCGCTAGATTTCTTGCCAGAGGAACTGTTGGAGCCGCCGCCACTGCCGAGACCCGACATGCCGCCCACGCCAGAGCCGGAGGCGGCCGCTGCGACGGCCTGCATGGCCAGCAGCTCTTTGTGCAGGGTGACCGGATCGTAGGCAGAGCCAGGATTACTCGCAATACTGTTGCTGCTGCCGCTGCTGGTCATTGTCGAGGGCTTGCCATACGCGCTGGCAGTGCTCTGCAATAAATTGAAGATTCAAGTGAAAACTAAGACAAATTACACAGAAAAACTATCCTTGGATCTAATTAATGTCAAGGTTCATGTCAAGAACTAAGAGAGGAGCTCTTTCAGCCAAGGGCTGTTTTGATCGAAGTAGATCAGCAGGCATATTGCCGAATGATAAGAGTTGACAAGAAATAAACAAGCTGCTCAGCAGACAGGGTCTCACCTTGTAGCCGCCGTGGCCCGCGCTGCTTGTCGAGATGGAGGCGCTGCTGCCGGAAGGCGGCATGCTGGTGCCCGGCAGTCCAAAGCCGTGCATGCTGGCCAAGGCCGCGGCGGGATTGTTGGCTGCTGCGGCAGCTGCTGCTGCCGCCGCGGCGTTCAGGCTGTTGGCCAGATTCTGCTGCTGCTGTTGCTGTTGTTGTTGCTGCTGCTGCTGTTGGGCGGCGCGTTTCTCCTTGCGCGACTTGTTCGACTTGCTGCTGGAGCCGCTGCCGCCGCCCGCGGCGCCACCTCCACCACCTACTCCGACCATGCCCGCGCCGCCCGCTGCGCCCGCACCGGAGCCCGTGCCGCCGCCACCCATGGCCATGGCGGCGGGCCCAAAGGCAGCTGCCAGATCGGGATGGGGAAACGGCGACAGTCCGGAGGCCTGCAGCCGGCTAAAGTAATCCTGTGCGGCCAACTGAGCCATGGACCACCAGCCTGCAAATTACATTTAGCATTAGTTTTACAAACAGATCAGACGATCGGCGGAAATTGAATCTATGTACAATTTATTGCTAATATAGGAATGTATATTTCTTTACCTTACAAAAGCCCAAAATACAAACAAATATCTAACAAAAACAATAAATTTATATTACACTTATTAACAAAAACATTCAAAGGAAATGAAATCAACGAAACTTAAAACAATTATCAGAGAGAATAATAACACAAGTATAAGAGAACAATTGTATAAGAATAATAAATTATAAAAATATGCTTGACTATTTATCGCTTTGTTGGCCAAGAGAGAGCAGCTGACAAAGCGTAAAGCTTTAAAACAGCAAGCGAAATTGTTGCTTTAGGAGCGTTTTCTTCAAGTGAATCGCGCGGATTGGACGAGACACTCGCTGTTGAACTCCAAACAAAGAAGAATATCACTCTATTCATCCTCCCCTTCTCCTCCTTCACTCACAACATCCTCTTATTAAATAATTTTGAATAATTGCACTATAATTCCCAAACAGCAAATACTGTGGTGTTAAAGTAAAGTTGATATTGAATTATTTTTGCTTTTATTTATTTTTCTGGGCTTGACCGGGACTCGAACTTGCGTCGGTTCTCTGTCAGAACTCTCGTTCCTTTCTTTCCCGCTCTCTTTTAAACGTGTCGCACGCACTTTTTAGCGGGCAGCGCCAACACAGCTGCTCTGCTGCATGCGTCGCAGTAGCTACTTATACCCTTTTTCACGTCTCGTTTGTTGGCCTTGTCGACTCGCATTTCGTGTAACGTTTGTTGTTGTTCGTATGCTAATTAATGTGGACGAGTGTCGATGCCGACATTTTACTCACTTGCTGGATGCAGACCTGCCAGGCTGGCGGCCTGGGAGGCCGCGACGGCCATTGTGTTCTGGTGATGGTGGGCGCCAGCAGCTGCCGCAGCTGCTGCGGCCATTGATGAGTAACGATCATTGGCAGCCGCTGCGCCGGCAGCATTTGGTAATAGGCCCAAGCCGGCGGCCGCGGCAGCATTGAACTGCGAGTTGAAGAGCGGATTTGAAGCAGCTGCGGCTGCAGCTCCAGTGGGATCTCGGCCCCAATACGCTGCAGGCAAGAAGCAGAACAAGCAACGCGCACAATTTACAAAATATGTTAACTACATGTGTATATTTTGTGTTTTTTTTTTTTTTTTTTTGAGCACTTACCAAACAGCGATGCAGCATCTAATAGTCCGGTGGGATCGTGGGGCCCGCCCGCCCCTGCGCCGCCACCCCCGCCGGAGCCGCCCTTGCCGTGATTGTTTGAGTTTTTGCCGTCGTTGCCGCTGCCATCGCCGGCATTTTTGTTCATGTTAAAGTGCAAAATTGGTGTTGTTTGTTTTTACAGTTGTTCTTGTTGTTGTTGTTGTTAATAATGTAATTATTATTGTGCTTCTTCTGTCTGCAAGTTGATAAAAGAGAGAGAATGCAAAATGTGGTTAGCTTATTAATTAAAATGTCAGTTACTCTCAATTGAACTCATCACGAATCTCACTTAGGCGCTGCTCTCACTCTTGTTTTCGCTCTTAATGTTGGCAACGCCATTTCGGCGACTCTGCGATGTGGAGCGCAAAGAGGAAGCACAAGAAACATGAAAATCAAAACAAAACTACAAAAAAAACTACACACACAACTTCCACACAAAACCCGAACGGAAGCGGGCAGCGGTCGCGCTCTTGTAGCTGTATGCGTGCGAGCAATGCGTGAGAGAATACGAACAGAGACGCCGTGGCTGCGGCTTGCTCACTCACTCACTCACTCACCACTACACCTGCATACAGGGGAAAACAGAAACAGAGCGAATTCGCAGCGTCGCGCAGCGCGCAACTCACACACAGCGTAACAGAAAAAATGCGGCGAACGGCAACTTATTAACAAATTGCATTGCAAAACGCAGGAAAAGTCAAAAAAATGCAACCTTTTTATAGAGCTATGCAAAAATATTAAACACAAATAATCCGATTAATCTATTGCAAGCAAAATCGACACACACACACACACACTCGCATTCACGGACCCCACAGGCGCATACATAAGCCGCTGTGCTGCGGCGAACTATGCATACACAAAGCGAAAGAAAAAAAAAAAGAAGAAAATGCCGTTCGATTTGCTTTGAGTAGCTTTTTAGCTGAGTACATTTTGTTGTTGTTTTTATACATATACATGTTTGGTTTCTCTTTTTGTAAATTTCATTCATAAATTGTTGCAGCTCAAGTTTTGCTTGCATTTGCATTTCACACATTCTGCATATGAACGCCGCCGCTACGCCGACGACGTCACCGCGCTGCCGACGCTGCTGACTAAGAGCCGACTGAGACACAGACAGTCTGTCGGCCTGCTTAAACAATAAATACAATAGTCGACGCGGATGCTTACTTAAAAAACGGCACCTTTCATGCATCAGCCGTATTTTCTGATACATTTCACATATTTTTTTTCAACAATTTTTGTTAGCGTTTTGTAGTTTTAATCCACAAATGAAATTATTTACGGACAAGCGTTGGCGAAAAGCAAACCAAATATCTGTGGGATAACGCGGCGACTGAGAGCGACAATGTGAGAAAACAAAAACGCGCTCGGTACGTTACAAGTGGAATTGAAACATGAGAGCGGTGCCGTGGCACGAGTGTGAGAGGCGCAATGAATGGACCGATGCCGACGCTGACGTTGTGTTCGACAGCGACAGCGACGGCGACGGCGACGGCGACAGCGACAGCGACGCGTTTTCACAGTGGTTGATAATTACACATTTTTTTTGTTGTTGTTTTTCTGTTGCGAAAAAGAAAATGCATAATTTTATGTATTTATCATTTTAATGAGCATACGTTTAGCAGTCCACAGTGCCACAATAAAGGTGTAGCCCACTTTTGCTCCTCTTGCCTTCTTAATAACAGTTATTGCGCTTTCTGCTGTCACGCATCAGCCGACAGATGTGTCTGCTTATCACACAGCATGTGGAGTCTGTCTCTGTGTGTGTGTGTGTGTGTGTAAGTGAGGTGGTTGGGGGCATTTACGAATATTAAATTGCTTAATATATCGCCACGATATGCGTCAATAGTAAAAGGAAAAGGAAAAGAACACAATACTTGAGTTAACGGTAATGTTGTTTTTGCTGTTGCCAGCGTTCCCCGCCCGCTTCTACTTGTTGTTGTTGTTGTTGTGTCTTTTCTTATGCTTCGCTTAAAGTTTTATGATGGCAACCGCACAGTTGGACCTCTGCTCGGGTCAAAACGTCGTCAACGGCAGCAGCAAAGTCTGTATATGTGTTCGTATATATTTGTGTGTGTGTGTGTGTGTGTGTGAGGGTGTGAGCTGAGCAAGCGCGCGCCACAACAACAATAGAAACAACAGCAAAGCGTTGGCAATATGATTCGAGCATTTATCGTTGACGCTGTCACCGCTGACAACGTCGACAGCGACGCCGTCGTCGACGCGCTGCCAATGAAAAGGTGCGCGAAGCGTGCGTATGGGAATGGGAATGGGAATGGGAATGCGAATGGGGGAGGGAGCGACCAAAGCGATTGCTGCTGCTGCTGCTTTTGTTGATTTTTTCTTTTCTTTTTTGCGCTAACTTGACGTGTAGATATATATGTATATACATATATATAGTGACATATCCATAGTCGCACCCACCCTTTAACATATCTTAGCACATAAGCATAAGCACAATTATAAACATTTCTAATATTGTAAACAAAGAGCCTGGTGATAACATCGACATTGGTCAAGATCAAACTGTCCCCCTTTGGTAGACATAAACAATTCACCCTAAATATCACGCCACTGTCAATGTTCCCATCAGAGTACTATCCCACGCATAATTGCTGACGCAGCTCAAACTTCACTCAATTTTGACTCAAACTCTCTCAAAGCGAAGTTTGCTAAGCGACCGCAACAGTTAGATAAATCAGTTCATATTCGGGAAGCAAATCTGAATGTACTCAACAAAAGTAGCCGTTAAGTGAAAATAATAAATTGAAATATATTTTTTTATAGTAACCTAACGTGTAAAACTTAATTGGCGCAGCCGGTAGGATACGTCGGGAAAAATTAAAGATCGCTAAAGGATAATTAATTCCCAGATCTAACGCACAATCGCGACCGAAAGTGTTGTCGGAGTGTAATAAAAATTTTCTCGAATACGTATCCGCACAAGAACCTTCGGGTCATTAGTAGCTTAATAATATTGACCCTTTGGGCAATAAAGCTACTACAGTTAATAACGACTGGCTTTGCATATCGTTTGATCCCTGCAATACGTTATTACTGAGTCTTTTTAAGACACACACACAAAAAAAAAAAAAAAACATTTACACAATAATCCATCACAAACTTTAACTTAAAATAAAAGTGCAAAATCAAAGAACAATAAAGTTCAAACCTACAAACTCAAAACTATTCAAAAAAAAGTGTATTACACCAAGATGACAATGGAATTATCAGAACAACACCTCAACCAGGCCCTTTCACAACTTAGACAGGTGCCAAGCTTTGACGGATCAACGGATCAACTAAACGCCTTCATTAAAAGGATAGATTACATCCTACACCTGTATCCAACCCGAGATGTTAGACAACATAGCATCTTATACGGAGCCATCGAATTGCAAGTCACAGGAGATGCTCAGAGAATATCACAAAGGACAGCAGCCAACACTTGGCAGGAGCTGAGAAACGCATTGATTGAAGAATACAAAGTGCAGACACCATTTGAAGAACTCCTTCGACGCTTATACAACACGAATTACCAAGGAAACGTCCGTAAGTTCATCGAGGAGCTCGAGAATAAATCTTTTGTTATATTAAATAAGTTAGCACTAGAAAATATACCTAGCAATACAACCCTTTATACAAATGCTATGAATAACACAATCAAAGATGTTATTACAAAAAAATTACCAGATAGGCTTTTCATGATGTTAGCCAGACACGACATTACGTCGACACAAAAACTAAAGCAAGTAGCTCAAAGAGAGGGATTATATGAAAATAGCGTTACTGAAAAACCTAAAAATAATAATGTTCAGGGAAATCCAAATAACAATCGTAGGAACATGGGAAATTATCAGCAAAATGCTAACCCAACCACCATTTCAAGTGGCTATTCCAACACGAATCAGAGTTATCACGCACAAAATAAACAGCATAATAAGTCCGAAGACAATCAGAAAGCTCACCACGAGTTCCAACAGAAATTAAGTCAAGGTAGATACCAAAATCCCTTAAACTACCAAAATCAGTCCCATTCACGCTTGAATGCACCAAACCCTCCGACTAAACGTCAAAGAGATAGTAACAGTGGGCAGATGAAAATGGATACATCCGAAAATTTTCATCAGCAAGCCTCGGAACAAACAGAAGAAATCCATTCATAAAATTGATTATGAATGACGAAGTTCTAAAATGTGTCATCGACACAGGTTCAACCATTAATCTAATGAAAACTAACCGCTTAAATTTTCCAGTTTACAACGAAACATTAAAGGTTCACACCATAAATGGTGTTATTGAATTAAAACAAAGTATACGATTAGGAGCAAGCAAAATTTGTCCGAGCAAACAAAAATTCTATATTCACGACTTCTCAGAGCATTATGATGTTCTGATTGGGAGAGAATACCTTGAGGCATGTCAAGCAAAAATAGACTATGCACAAGGATCCGTAACCTTAGGAGAATTTAACTTTTGTTTTAGATATAACGACGAAGAGGTCGAAGAGGACATGACCGCACAAGAGTGCCTTGATCCACCCTCAACAGAGGACAGACCATTTAACTTCGCTATAAATAATGAATTAATAGAAAACAATGAGTTTAGGCTAGAGCACCTAAACTCAGAAGAAAAAGAAAAAATAAAAAAAGTTTTACATGAATTTCGTGATATCCAGTACCATGAAGGTGACAATTTGACTTTCACTAGTACAATTAAACACAAAATTCTAACAAAACATGAGGACCCAATTTACAAGCGTCCATACAAATATCCTCAAATATACGATGAGGAAGTAAATAAACAAATAAGCGATATGATAAAACAAAATATCATACGTAAATCCAAATCCCCTTACTGCTCACCAGTAATAATCGTTCCAAAGAAAAACGATGCATCTGGAAAGCAAAAGTTCCGGTTAGTCATAGATTACCGCAATCTCAATGAACTAACTATTAATGATAAATACCCTATCCCGATCATGGATGAAATATTAGACAAACTTGGAAAATGTCAATATTTCACAACCATTGATCTAGCCAAAGGCTTTCACCAAATCCAAATGGATCCTGGTTCAATACCCAAGACCGCATTTTCGACTAAACATGGCCATTACGAGTACACTCGCATGCCATTTGGTCTTAAGAATGCACCTGCAACGTTCCAACGTTGTATGAACAATCTCTTAGAAGA